GGGCCTGGCGCTGCGGCCTCCCCCTGCAACGCCGCGAGCCGCGCTCGGCGTGGGGAGGGCGCCCGGCTCGCACGAATGTTTGCGCAGCCCTCAAGTATGAACAAGATCCACCCCCCCGCCTTATTCTGCTTAGTTATGCTTTTTATTATATACACATTAACTGTAATATTACAGCGGGAAGCAGGTATTTGGCAACTGCGTATTATTTTGCTAAGTTTGCATAGAGGGAGCAGTTTCCAGTTTTAGCAGCTGTAACATGTTTAAACTCAGTTTGTAATGGGATCTGAAGATGAATATTCCCTGTGGGCTCTGCTTAGCTTCATTACTGGAGCCCTGCCAAATTCAGGGCTAGAAAGTATTATTCACACCTCTTTGCACATACCATGTCAGAGCATGCTCAGTTAATGAATTTTGTTTCTAATATAGCATAAATTAGGTTTATATTTTAACATAATTTATGTTGCATTTTATTAAAATGTAAAATATTATGATCACGAGCAATCTAATTTCTGCTCTCTTAAGCCCAAACTGTGTTTGAACATCTAAGTATGTAAATCAAAATCGCATGCTTAGATACTGATTCTAGGATAACAAACGAATATCTGAACCAAAGAGATTTCTGCCTTGGAGTCTTAGATTAAAGATAATTAAGGATTCCTGGTATTTGAACAGATTTATGTTGTTTATAAGCAAAGTACATTTTCTTCATAGAGTCAACTTGTCTTTTTTTTTTTTTAAAAAAAAAAAGCAAATTATGTTTGCTGTATTAAAGTTCATATTTTAAAAGTCTGAGCCCTGTATTAATCCCTCAGTGAGTCATTAATCATACCAAATGCATTATAAAAACTTTAATCACTGAAGTTGAAACCGAGATTGTAATGCAATCCATCCTGTTTAATTACATCAGTTATTTTTCCTTTCAGATCAAGAATTGCAAAGGGGAAACAGATAGATTAAAACTCAAAGTGTTCAGTGCTTTGGTGTGGGGCAGGGGGATATTTTTGCTTGTTTATTCCTTTTTTAGAGTGGTCTCGCACACTTTAAACTGGGAACTTCTCTCCAAAAAAACCTCCTTTTTTTACTCTCTCCTTCTCTCATTTGTTGCCCCATCCTTCCCATCTCTGGCCCGACCAGCCCTCCTCCAGGGAAGTAAGGGGCATTTTGCAGAGGCAGGTCCTGATGCGGGTGCCCAGGGACGCGGCTGTCCGCTGCCGATGGTCCCTGTGTCACCTGCCTCCTCGCCTCGAGGTAACGAAGCTGGGACAACCCGTGTAGTAGGTGCTTCCTCTACACCTTTAAGGGTAGGCAGGAAAAAATATAGAAATGTATGCATTTCCCTTTACTTGGTCTAAAAAAGGTGTCTCATACCCTCAGCTGGTACAGATCGGTGTAGCCGCACACACCGCTCCAGCGTTGCTGATGCCTGATTTACACCAATTGCGGCTCTGCTGGATTTACACCACGTGATGATCCTGCCAAATAAGTTGATTTATCATGGTTGGATTTGTAGATGTAGAGGTTACAGGGTTGCTTTTATGCTGCGGAAGGAAATAGATTTATTAAGTAAACTGTTCGTAGTAGATACATTTTGTTCTTTGCTAGAATGGCAAAACCTGATCAATTATTTGTTCCTTAATCCCCTAGATTAATCCTGCCATATGAAAGATTTATTAAAGGAGAGGAAGATAAGCCACTGCCTCCAGTGAAACCTCGAAAACAGGATAGCAGTTCCCAGGAGGGTGAAGTGAAAACAAAAGTGTCTGGAACAAAACGCATCAAAAATGAAAACCAAAAGAGCAAGAAGGAAAAAGATAACACACAGAAACCCCAGGATGCATCTGAGGTTGGTTGCTTCCTACTTTTTAACTTTTCAATTAAAAATGTACAGCTTTAATCACTTGAAATCCAGTGATAAAATGCGTAATTTAAATGTGAATTCGGAGAGGTTGGGCTTTGCTGAGCAGCGGAGATCCCGTTGTTGCGGTATTGCCAGCGCTGTGATTTTGCCAGGCAGCAGGCAGCCACCGGTTAGCTCCATGTTGCGTGGAAGCGATGGCAGAAAACCAAGCCCTGGTTGTAACAAGATCATTTCTCCTCATTGTATAATACAGCGGTCACCGCTAAAAGACCAGCAGCTGCCAAAAGGAAACCACACAGGCACCACAGTTATTTCCTAATCTAAGTATAGGGTGCGGGAACCTCTAATACTGCTGATAATGCTGTGGTGACTGCTGGATACAGCTGATTTTTGTAATGGCAACCTCTGGATCAGCCCTTCCATAGTTGCAGAGCTTAGCATATGCCTGTCAAACACCAAGGCTTTTATCATCTTAGGTACAACTTCTTTTTAGGTAGAAAGGTCAGTTTTTTGGCAAGTGGACCTTGATGCACTTGCTGCTCTCTCTCTTCTGCCACAGGCAGTTTCCCAATGGGTCAGTTCCCACTCCAACCACCTGATTCCCATGCAGGGCATTGCTCAGTGCCATCCTAGGACCGGCTTCATGTGATAGATTTTATGTTCACAGCTGATGATAAGATAGATGAGTAAAATTCATATTGGCATGCAAATAAGGGATTTGCTAAGTGATACAAAATCAAAGGGAATTTTGCTCCGGTGCGTCTTGAGCACTTTCATTGCAAAGTGCTGCCTGCGCTTCCCTGTGCCCCGCTTGTACTGGGGTGCAAATGAGTCGATGAAGCTCCTCACCTACAGCCCCATGCACAAGATGTTGCTTTTCCCCTCGCATGGTGCCAGCTCACAGCAGCCTCCGAGGCGTTACAGTGAAAGTAAGTATTTAAAGAATGCCGAAAGCCATGTGACGTGCCAGGCAGACGCGGGCTGCTCCCTCGGCTGCGCTGCTGTCTGGCAGGTACGTACGTCCTGCCTGTTTCTAAACCAGTCTGGAAATTGTTCTTGACTCAACTAACAACAATCCTCCTCCTCCCTTTAAAAAGAAATCATAGAGCCAGTAGACAGGGATGTGTCTGAGACTCTACCTACTTGGTCTCAAGAACAGAAAAATTTGATTTTTGCACATTGCTACCTCTTTAAGTCATGCTTACAGTGGCAAGTTTCATCTCCTGTCTGAACCAGAATTTGTGTTTTTAATTGCCTCCATCAACAGTGTATTTAATATCCAGTGTCAGAGCACTTCACAGGGAGAGGGATTTTTTTGTTTGTTTTCTCTCTATAATTTTAAGGTAGGGACCCTGTTGTGGGGAGAACCCCTCTGCTTCTGATTAAAAATACATGGAGAGGAGAGTGCACACAACTTAAGTCACTGGAAGGTTGCAACACAAATTGCCCACAGCAAGGAAATGCGAAGTTAAGGCTTGTGCTCCGTTCTCCTGACATTCCTTTGTGCCTGATTATTTATTGTGGGGCCTTGGATCAGCAAGATACGTTGCATGCTATCGGGTCTGCCACAGCTTGGTACAGCATAACAGGTCAGCAGTAGAGCGTCAGCCTTAACTTTGAATTTCCTCGCTTTTGTTGTTCCCTATCTCAAACTTCCTGCTGCTTAAACTGCAGTTATTCCTGCGTGTGATTTGCAGGAAGAGTTCCTAAGCTGTGCTTATCGGAAATGTAAGGAGCCTGGAAGAGACAATAAAAATGTACAATCAGAGCAGTTTCCTATTGTGGGATGGTAGCTTTTAGAGCAGAATTATCTGGCCCCTGACTGGGATGAAGGGCAGTGTCCTGCCTGCTGTGATCAAGGTGGGTAATTAGGGACACCAGCCTGGTGGGGGGCACCATACAGGTAGGTGGGTACATGACACCTGGGCAGCAAAGGGGCCCGCGGGGCTGGATGTGGCACCGTGCCACGAGACGGGCTCTGTGGCCTTGCCGCTGGCCAGGAGAACGGAGACACTTGATCCCATCCCATTGTAAAGCCCTGCCTGCCCGGAGCAGGGCAGAAGGTTGCACGTCCTTCACGCCTCACTCATTGGCACACCTTGGCAGCAGGTCCCCAGGCCAGGTTTTGTGGTAGACATCCCTTGGGTGCCTCCTCGTCCAGGGGCAGTGGTGGCAGCTGCTGCTCATGGGGAACCTCCATAGCTACATCTATAGATGTAGAGGCATGGCCACCACCAAACCACCACGTGGCCTAGGAGCTGGCCCTGTCTGCTCTCTGTAAAAGCAAGGTCGAGCTGCACGGGCCCAGTCCTCTCAGTTGCATGGTCGCCTCATGCACAGTGACAAGGGTGCAAGGAAGAATATAACTTTAATTTATTGGGGTTGCATTTGCTTTTGTATTCTTCACTGTTTTCCTGCTGTTGCAATCACTGTAGTAGTCACTGTAACAAGACACCAGGCAAAATGCTATTAGCCTTAAACTGCACATTTTCTCACAATAGCTTAAACTTCAATCAAAATGTTCCTTAACAGAGACAAAGAGCAGAATGTACAGTTATTAAATATGATTTCTCCTTTTTTTCCTCCTTGCTTTGCTCATCTGTCTGGTATTTTCCTGTAATTTTATAAGCTCAAGAGACCAGTGATAGTACTTTGTAAAGGACCTAATAATGGTTTTGGACTGGAAAAGGCAGCTATTAGTTTAAAAAGAAAAAGTTACAATGACTAGCAGACACTGTAACTAATAGGCCAACCAAACACACAGGAATATTTAAAAGCAGCTGTGAAGAAATAAATCTCTAGTATGGTTAGATTTGCTGGGACCTTTTCCTGTCCCTCACTCCAGTCGATGATAGACCATAAAGCAGCATTTAGATAATAACTTTCTTGATACATCTTATCTTTACAACTAAGAAAGAAAGAAAACAATAATAATGAAGAGCTTGCACAATGCTGCTGTTTTCTGACTGTCTTCAGCCACGACACGTCAGAGGAGAATGACAGCAGCTCTGAAAAGGGCTGTCAGTCAGCTGGATCGCAGATGGGGCGCTCCGACGACCTCCGCGGGTCGCAGTTCAGCCGGCTACATAATGGGATGAATGGTGCGAATTGTGCGCACAAGCTTTATTAACGGGGGAGCAGGACGAGCTGCAGCCCCATTGGCCATAGCGGATAAAAGCTATGTTTGTAATAGCGTGCACACACACTTACTGAATGTTGACAACTTCATTTTAATCCGTTAATAAAAAAAATGTGTGTCCCAGTTAAGCTGTAGCAGTGATTTGCTGCCTACAATAGGGATTGCCACTATTCCATTTCTATCATTTTCACACTTTAATGCAGAACTGGGTGTGAATGATCTCTTCTGTGATCACTGCATTTTAAGATAGTCGAAGGCATTACATTTTTGGCATTGTATAAGAAAAAAAACATTAGGATTGGTTTGTAATTTTTATTGGTGAAGTTGGCTAGCGAGAGAAATTTCTATAGCCTTATTGATTATGTGATGAAATCTGCACTTCCACACTGGCCTAATTAATTTTAAAGACTATATGAGCTCAGCATTCAGCGATCTGGTCAAGCCACCAGTGCCTCTAGTCAGGTTATAATCGTACTATTTTGAAATACTTTATTACGACACAGCAGGGATGGGGTAATTCTTAATATTTCCAGAAGGTACATTTCTTTGTTTGACTCTGATACCTAGTATTAAAGCTTTCACATTCCAACAAGGTGACTGACAAGTACATCTCTAAAAGTAGCAAACAGGGTACCGTGTATGATTTTATGAACAGCCTGCCAACACACACAGCATTCTTATTACTGTCTATTGAATCATTTTATTAGGTTTCATCAGAACAAGAGAAGGATCAAGAAGCGGCAGACCAGAAAAATTTTCCCGAACATCCTACAGCAGGAGAGATGAAACAAACCATGCAAGGTCCCCGATCTCTTTCACCAGAGGCAGCTCGGCCACCACCTCTGGAAAAGACAGACTTGACAGAAAACAGCTCCAACAGTGAGAAGGGCAAGCAGGAAGTCCAGCACTCATCCTCTTTCTCAAGTATATCAATGCCCTCAGAGGAGGAGACCATGCTGGATGCCACCAACGCCAAGCGGCTGCACCCCTCAGCAGATGCCCTGGAAGACACAAAGCCAGAACAAAGGTTACACAAAGCTTTTAGTGACTGCTTAGAAAGTGAACCCCCAGAAATGCCCTTCACAGCTTTCCCAGTCCAGCTGCCCACTCAAAGCGACATGGAAGATGACAAATTGCCACAGATGGCCGATTACATCGCAAACTGCACAGTCAAAGTGGATCAGCTGGGAAACGAAGATATCCACAATGCGCTCAAGCAAACACCCAAAGTGCTGGTGGTCCAGAACTTCGACATGTTCAAGGAGAAGGAGCTGCCTGATTCCATGAACAATGACTCCACTTTTGGGTACACACCGCTCCTCTACTCAAAGGGTAACCCGGGCATCATGTCACCCCTAGCAAAGAAAAAGCTGCTGTCCCAGGTCAGCGGGGCCACCTTGTCTTGTAGCTATCCGTACGGTTCTCCTCCACCTTTGATCAGCAAAAAGAAACTAAGCAGCAGAGATGAGCTGTCCTCAAGCATATCACAAAGTCCCCACACCCTTAATTCGGATCCTGTAGCAATTAATAGGCCATCAGTCATTCAACACGTACAGAGTTTTAAAACCAAGGAAGAAAGGAGGTCGATTAATGATATTTTTAAGCATGACACGCTAAGTAAACCAGATCATCAGCGCTGTGATTTTTCAAAACATCACCTCAGTTCTCTTGCCGAGTCGTATGTACAGAAGGCAGATATCCAGGACTGCAAAGATAAAATGAGTGAGAAAAGGGCACTGCATCACTCCCATGTGCCCACTTTCTTGGCAGATTTTTATTCATCGCCTCATCTGCACAGCCTTTATAGGCACACAGAACACCACCTTAATAATGAACAGACATCAAAGTATCTCCCTCGGGACATGTTCAGAGAGTCAGAAAATATTTCTACTTTTACTCAACACAAACACCAAGAAAAACTAAATTTAAATTATCACCCATCTTTGCATCAGCAAGAAAAAAAGGCAGCAGTAGAGGCCTCTTCAGATGATCAGCCAACAGATTTGAGTCTTCCAAAGAGCGTACACAAACAGACTGCAAAGGCGCTGGGCACCAGCCTCCCTCATTCATCCATGGCACAGCAAGAAGGCAAAAACATCTCCCAGTTCCCAGCTGCAAGCAGCCAGGCTGTGAGCCTAGACTGCAACCCCAAAGCCTGCCGCGTGTCCCCCATGGCCATGGCGGTCCCTAAAAAACACAGTGAGCTGCTGCACAGGTCGGGGAAACAGCAGGCCCAGAGACTGGAGAACCTGAGGAAGATGGAGGGGATGGTGCATCCCATCATCGGCCGCAGGGCGAGTCCTCAAACCATCGGAGCTGCCCGGCCTTTGAAACGGAGCCTGGAGGATTTGGACAAGGTCATTTCTGAAAAAAAAATCCGAGCTGTCTCTCCTCTGCACTTACCAAAGGAGACCCCGGCGAAAGAAAAGGTTCCCGATCCGGAGGGGGAAGGCAGCAAGTCCATGCATGGCCTACATTCTGGCAACATGTTGGAAAGCCACAAATTTCCCCTTTCAACCCCTATCTTCACAGGCCTGTACCCAGGAACACTGTGTGCAGGGCTGAACAATCGCCTCCCGCCCGGGTATTCTCATCCTTTACAGTACTTGAAAAATCAGACCGTGCTTTCCCCACTAATGCAACCTTTGGCTCTTCATTCCTTCATGGTGCAGAGACAATTCCTTACGTCCCCTGCAAATTCACAACAACTGTACAGACACTTAGCTGCAGCAACACCTGTAGGAAGTTCATACGGTGACCTTTTGCATAATAGCGTTTATCCTTTAGCTGCTATAAACCCTCAAGCTGCATTCCCATCTTCCCAGCTGTCCTCTGTACATCCCAGCACAAAACTGTAAATTCCTTCACTCACACAAAAAGAATCTGAGGAAAAAAAAATGTTAAGTTAGTGACATTCCTTCCCCTGTGATGATGTCTTGCAGAATGAGCAATCTGTATTTTCGTTAAGCAGGATACAGTCTTACCCCGTGCAGTGGAACGCTTCCAAATCGGATCCAGACAGGACTGCTGCTTTAATTCTGGCTCCCACATCACCCCCTCTCCCCTGTGCCCGCCACCCTGCAAAAACAAAACAAAACTAAACAAAAAAAATCACTGCATTTTGCATATGTGTTTTCTGAAAGGACTTGGGTATGGTGAGAGCAAACGTTCAAAGGGAGCCGTGGAAACACAGGCCCAGTCCTGAGCTCACTGAAATCAGAGGCGACGGCTGCTTTTGGGTTTCATTGAGCCGAGGATCAGAAGCACTGCCTTGTTTCAAATGAGTCGAGGGCTCAAGATGAACCTGAAAAGAAGAGGGCCATGAAGCCGTACAATCATTGGATGTGCTTTTTGGGTAACTTTGAAAAAAAATATTCAATCAATGCAATGTATAGTAAAACGGCAATAGATTTTTCATTTTAACACTATTAGAACAGAAGGGTAAACACTGTTTAATTTGACTGTACATATCCACTCGTAAACTACCAGTGTCACATTTGGTCACAATAATTTATATAGTTTTATTTGTCCAGTATATTCTGTGCTCTTTATGTTTGTTTTTTTGGATTTTTGTTTTTCTTTTTTTTTTAAATTAAACAGTATCATTTTATCTGCAACTTTTTTTAAAGACTGTGGCTGTCGTAATTTTTTTTTATGTGTTTGTAATTTTTCCAGTTTCTATATACTTTTGAGCAGCGTTCTTGTTTTGGTTTTGTTGTTTTGTTTTGTTTTTGTGGTAATGTTTACTGTTTACAAACTGAGGCAACTGGTTCAGATTAATCTTAATGGATATGAACATACTGTAGGTAATACTGCGGTGCGAGGACACAAACAAAATTCCTTTCCCTATGGTCCGATCCTGCAAGGTACTGAGCACCTGCCACTCTCCTGGTGTCCGATGGCTCAGACGCTGCTTTTTCCCTCCCACCGAGCTTTGCTTTCCCATATTGTGGTCCGTGAATTTGTCAAGAGCTGTACCTACCTTACCTAGGCTGTGAAACCCTCCTGCAGACCAGAAAAACAATTTAGGAGACAGAACCTCACTGGCACGAGCTGCTGAAAAACAGAGGAGTGCAGAAAACGGATTTGCAGTTTGCGAGAAGGCCAAGCATTTCGAGAGGTAGAACAGGAGCCGGTGTTGATCTGAATCAGAGGGTTTGCGAGCCCGGGGCTCAGTGGCTGGGTCGGGGTTGTCGGCCGGGCCGCTGTCCCGTCTGGAGAGCGCCGCGGGCGCGCGTCTCCGCTGGCACTGCCTGGCAGAGCGTCCCTGGAAGCGCAGCCCTCGGGGCTGGACAAGGAACTTGTGGCCTGCTGGGGTGCTCCTTGTGCACCCCACTGGGCGCTAAGCCCTCATCCTGGCAGTCCCTTTGCAAGAGGAAAAGCCCGGGCCTGGAGGGACTGGGTTCTCGTAACGAGAGAGCTTTCCTGTGGATGTGTGTTCGCTTTGAAGGACATCACTACTGTGCAGCTAAGCATAGACATCAATAAAGAGAAGTGTGACTTGGAGGCATTTTACAATGTGGAAATGGGTTGTGATTCAAACCATCTCAGTTACTGTTCAAAGACAGCATAATCGATACAAAAACAGAAATGGAAACTACTAAGAAACACTTTGCATGCTAGGCATGTCATAAAAATTTCCCATGATATGAAGCCAAATACAATATATAATGTATCATAGTTAATATCCAAAGGTGGAAACCAGAATAATATACTCGTCTACTGTTAAAGATCCAGCTTCTTCAATTAAATACTTTATATTCCTGTGGTAAAGCTCTATTTAATTGATCGATAAACAGACTAGTAGAGTTTAGAGCATGAACGTGCCAACGCGCAGTATCCTGCTGCTCCACAAATCAGAAAAAGAAACAAAACTGCAAACTCAGCTGGGCAGAGGCTGAACTGTTGAAGACATCTCTAATAAAGTTGCACTAGCTCTGAATCACGTAAGAACATATAAGCTTCTTTCTTTTTTTTCCAAATCAAACATTTTTCTTTCTTGTTTAGGCCAAAGTATGTGTCGCGGACTCATGCGTTTGTTTACATGCAGTGTCTGATTGTGCTGCTGCTGACGTCGTGTTGGAATTGGATCATAGCGTTTTTAAAACAATGTTAAGGTAGTGCAGGGGCAGGGGGGAAGGGGAAAGGGGAGGAAGGCTCTTTGTTGCCATGTGAGCAGACTGGCCGTTTCTGGCAGAGGAAGCTCATAACAAACTGGGTAAAACATCAGGACAAATAAAAAGCAATGGTAGCATAAACCCCCAAGAGAAGCAGTGCGTTATTTGTTTAAAAACTCTTAACAGAAACCTTTGAAATGTTTCAAAAGACTATTGAATTCTCCTTCGGCCGAAAACCTTTTTTTTTTTTTAATATCTTAAATGAAGCTTTGTTTGCATTGTTAGAGTTCAAGAGGCCTTATTATTGAATGAAATTGCACAAGCCTTTCTTTGTGCAATCAAAGCATTGTTATTGGTAGGTTTGTAAAGGAAACTGTGGAATCTAATTGGCAATAGAGTCATAAATCTATTTACCAAGAACCAGTTCCAAGAACTGTTGCAATTCAAACACGCTGTGTCCAGGATTCATTAGGTATTCAAAAAGTTGTGAGATTAAAAGGAAAAGGCCCAGCTTGCACGTAACTTCTGGCTACTGGCTGAGTTTGACTTCAGAAAGCGTGTCCAGAGTGGAATCTGGCTCTCGGTAAAACATATTCCTAGTAAGGGTTAAAATGAACATAGGCTGTGTCTTGCAATAGGGCTGTCTTCGTTACTTAGGTGTTTGACACGAACGGTTTGCACAACATATCAGTGCACAGAAAGTAGTTTGTTCCAATTAAAAAAGAATTGACTTCATGGCACGTGGCATTGGTGTACGATTGAGCCCGTAAGTACTGCATCTTCCTATGTGGACGTGTGTGCCGCGGCTGGCGGGGCTCTGGACTGTGTGGGGCAGCGCGCCCTCGGCGGCCACGGTTCAGTTCCCTTCAAGCACTCTTCAACACGGTCACTTTTTTGTGGTGGTCAGCTAGGTCGCATCTGGTCCAATTTTACAATTGTCATGATTTTAATGAGAAATGGGAATTCTTTCACTCATGTGAGGCCTGCAGCATTGAAACTATTATCTTCAGCACTTATTATGGTGTTTGCTGTAAATGTGGTTGATATTTCACTTGTTCTCTTCCTCCTCGTCCCCTTTTCCCCCGACCCCATAGTTTTAAATATGTTCTAATAATGGCAGCATAATCTACTAGCTGTTTATACTTTTTTAACTTTCTTTTGTTGTAAATATTGTATACTTTTTGTGATTCAAGTTATGTAGCCTATATGCTCTGTAAGGTGATGATTTGTATATATAAAAATGGCCCAGTAATATTATATAGTTTCCCATTTAAAAGGTTATTGAGTAACCTTTGCATTAGTTTAAACACTACCAGAAATAAAGCTGAGCCAACTATAAACACTCAATTTTTGTATGTTTTCCAAATTGTACTTATTAATGCTTTTGATACTGTATTATGTGCCAATAGTTTCCCAATCACATAGCAGGCAAAAGATATTTTGTACTTTTTGATCCACTGTAATATTTAATAAAAAATGTTACTATCTGTTCCCTTTTGTGTTTGATTAATAATTCTGTAAACAGCCCTTATCGCAATGGATTACATATTATCCCATCCGACCTTTCAGCCCTCTTATATTGGCTTTTCTAGGGAAAATATCCCCTCCTGCAAATGATTAGATTAAAGGAATGGAAGTTTGCAATTTCCTAAAGGAGGAAGTGACAAGATCTTCAGTGCCCCTCTATTTTTTAATGCATTTGCACTGAACTGTGGCTGCAGTCAGGCTGGCTGTACAAATAGCTTCTGATGGGATAACATTTGTGCTTGGCCAGTGGCTTCTGTAGCAAATTTGCTCTATTTGCATCCCCAAGCAGGTTTTGGGTGGGTTTTTTTGTGTGTGTTTGTTTTATGCCGGTTGCAGATACTAGCTGGGATCTGGAAAATCACCCTCTGATCTTCCTAGTTCAACCACGAGTAAGATTTTGGAGTCAGATGTTAACTAATAGTTTTGCTGATGCTGATAAGCGAGCACCAAATACAGTTCGCCTGTGTTCTGCTCTTTGCTGAGTCCAAGTCCCCAGACTTGGTGATGCTCTAGGAAACCGGTCTTTCGATGAATTCTGTTGAGCGCAGTTATGTTCTTGTTCTCCTTAGCTGAGAAAAACATTTGCTTCAGTGTGTTTCAGGAATGGACACCCCCCAGCACCACACACATCTCAATACTGAGGGCAGATTTGGTGGCCGCGGGGTGGTCCCGGATCCTGGCTGAACTCCATGGTCCTGGTAAGTGTGTACATGTGTCCATGCGTGTCCGTATGTCCATCCTCTGCAAGGAAACCTTACCCCACCTTGGCAGGTCTAAGGATGAGTGCACTGTGCTCCACGCGGCTCTTGGAGCATTCATCTCTGCTAGTGCTTGTCAGCCCTGTGCCGTGGGTGGTCAGACCCGTAGCTCTATCTCCCAGCAGAGTTTCAGAGGCAGAGCAGAGTCCCATCCAACAGTGTCTTGAAGCCAGCCTGGTGGGAACTGGGCCCTTCCTCTTCCCCTCAGTATCTCTGCTCCTTGGAAAAGTTTCCAAGAACATTTTTAATAAAGTTTCTCCTCCTGGGAGGAGCACCCTGCGCACAGTTATTACAGGTAATGCTCACCGGCATTGTAATTGCTCTGAGGAAGAGAGAGCTCGCCCACGGGCTTTCCAAGAATACGTGACACTTCTGGTTTCTCCGAGGCAAGCCTGGAGCAGGAAAAATGCAGCCTGGCTCCTTGCCTTCCCCAGTTTCTGCAGGCACTTGCACAGGGCGATATCAGAGCATATTGCCACGTCCCTGCTTCCACGCCTGGAAGGGCAGGATGACCTTGGTGAAAGAAAACGGAGCAGCCACCAGAGGAACCCCAATTTCCCTCATGTGCTTCCGGGATTATTTAAGGTTTGCATTTGTCCAGGAGAAAGCAGGGAGCTGGAGCAGCACCGGAGGGTGACTGAGCCCTGAGCTGGAGCAGCCACAGGGCAGCTTTGCCTCCGCGCTG